TCCTTCGACAATATAGAATGTATACATATGTATATCACCTATTGCCACCAATGCCAACGTTCGTTGGAAAAACAAGACTCCGGTCATTGCAGATTGGTAAGACATGCTCAGGCCGGCTATGCAGTGTTGATTTCCGTGCTGAATGAATGCGTCTCCTTGACGACCTGATCATGACCGAAAAGGCAGTGCTCTACATCAGCGACCGAGGCAGATTCCCATGGCCATGGGGATCCGCTGTGAGTGCCGTGCCAATTTTATGACATGAAAACACGGTTTGCTTTTCAGGAGTTTTCCTCGAAAACTTGCAGAAGTAAATTTCAGACACATGGATGCCGCGAAAGAAACATACCCAGACCGCGACAGTGTCGCGAAAGGGATGATGAAAGATAACAGCGAATAGAACAAAAAATGTGAAAGGTTGGGGGCTGCTCATGTGAGACTGGCATATTCTGTCAGCAGCAGGTGCCATTTCGAGCTATGATCCAAGTTGTTCAGCCATTTTGTGTCAATTTGTGGCAGGATTGGTCATATCCTTATGTCTGTCATGTGTGCGTCTCTTGTTGAAAGTTTCTCGGGTCCAAAGGTGACTTTGTGGGAACCACACTGAGACAACATGATTTCGAAAACAGACCCTGTAACTTATGGATACCTGTTAAAGAAAATTGAAAACTCCACGTGAAGGTCACGAATTGAAGGGAATTCTCCGGTCACACCCGCATTGGAAGTCGGTAAGAACACCCAACTGTGGCAAGTTATGATGGACCCTTCAGCAAGGCTGTCCCTGTGGCTGTGAGACCCATGGCTAGGAGATTTTGGTCCCAATTGGACCCTGCGAAGCCAAAAACTCATCTGACAGTTTCCGAACATGCGGGGTATCAGAAGCCATGGGTTTCAATGCTAAAATGTTCTAACGATTTGGATGATTTTAGGACCCCCATCCGCGAAATTTTGAACCACAAATTTGTTGACTTGGCGACTTGGCTTGCCATGGCGCTGATGGAAAGTGCTCCAGTGTGGAGCAGGCGCTGGTGACATGACTGACCTGGGGATTTCAACGGGACGTTTGCGGAAAATTGGTTCTTTTCTTTGTTTGTTGAATGGGATATAGTTCGTTTTATGTGACTTATTTCAGGGATTTAATATGATTTAATATGATTTGATAGGATTTGATGGGATATAGTATGGGCATGTATGGGCTGTTACATTTTATCGGGATTTGAATAGAATTATTACACACTGAGATTGACCCTCCCTCCGGAGTCATCAATCATGGCTAGTGGGAAATCCTCAAACTAGCCATGGAGGTGATCAAGCAACACAAACAACACACCGGTTTACCCAGGAAATGGCGGATTTAACCACTAACACTGGATGCATATTTGGATAAACCTTGAAAGGTAGTTTATTGACGTTGATTGCTTTACACACACAATATATATATATATGAGTAGGCAGGGATTCTGCACAAACTAATGTGATATTGGCGAATTGGAATCATCGGGTCTTGGTGTAATTCCACGGGTATTTTTCCAGGCTCCTAGTGCACAGGTCCATTGTCAGCCCATGGACTTCCAGGGTGACGCGATACATGGCTTGCACTCAGGGCCAGCCAGGACGTGCCAGGGATCTGGAGGTAATTCCCAGGGAGTTAAGGGGGACCGGGATATAATGGGGATACAATGGGGACATATTAGTAACCATCAAGAATTGGCGATTCAAGACTTTTAATCACCAACAATGGTGACAGAGTGTGCGACTTAACATCAAGCCATCAAAGGTACAATTTCTAGCAACAAACATCGGGATTTGCCCAAAAAAAAATTGCGGCTTGGAAGCAACGACAAATTGAGGTTTTGACCCACAGAAACCAGGCAGCCAAAAAAACGTGAGGGTTTGAACCGACCAAGCAAAACTTGGGAGGGCATTACCAATGATCAGATGGGTGTGTCTGATGGGGTGTGCCTCGAACATTACAAGTTTCCTGGAAAGGATGCAGCCAACTTTTGGATTTTTGCGATACCTTGTTTTCAGACACCAAAAAAACGCATTTTTGACCACCATGGGGTCATTGATCACAAGACCACTGAACGGGGGATTACCCATTTATGGCCTACGGCCATTAAAGATGAGCAAACAACGGTCATATGGGTATGGGTCTAAACCTATTTTTACCATAGGGGGATCAACATCTAACCAGCTATTTTGTTGTGTACCATCTGGGTACCAGGGTTTTGACCACCAATTTTGCTGCTGCAATGGTGTTCCACAGTTTCAATCAAATCCATCCGGATCACCCCACGACATGTAACTTCTGTAAGAAACTGTTCAAACAATAACACGGTAGTTAATCGGAGGAGAACCCTAGTTAGCGCATGTTGGCAAAAGATTTTCTAGGGTGTATCTATATATATATATTTATCTATATACATATATATATATGTATATATATATATAGATATATACATATATACATATATACTAGCTTTTTTTAAAGTCTCGTAAAAGGTGTTTTTAAAGCCTCTAGGCAAAAAGTGAACGTAGGGGGTACGAGTACAAATGAACGTGGTGACGGACGTGCGTACGACCCAGCGTACGTGTAAGCGTACGAGTGGACGGACGCGTGACGTACGAGTGGACGGACGTGTGCCTACGAGCGGACGGACGTGTGAGGGTATAGCTGCGTTGACACGTTCACTCGTCACGTGCGCGCGCACGTACGAAAATAAGGTCGACTCGAGCCGACCTTATTTGAAGTATGTGACCCGGCCACATGTATGGATGTGGGTTGGGTCTCTGACTGCTGGTCAAAACAAAACCATTATACACAGTTAGTTTTATCGCGCCTGGAATCCATTCACCAATCTGGCTCAGACCAAGTGCAGATGCAGCTACCACATGGAACAATAATAATCTCAGAGTTCAAAAGCTGCAAGCATGTGACAGGTGGCAGCAGCGCACTTCTCTAATCTTAGTGATGATGAGTTAAGGCTGGTGGAGTCGTCCTGCTTGCATCACCGGAATACCAACTGGGCTTCAAAGGTACTGTTGATCTTTTTAGACATTCTGTCTTCGTGCGAACTAGACACTGCAGAACTCTTCAGAAATTCTAGGATATTTCACTAGGATTGATTTGGTTTCATGAATGTGTTACAGTAAAAGCAAGGTAATTTCAATAGATTTCGTTGAGGCTAGGTATGAGCCACGGACAGCCTGCGCATGAGGGAAAATCAGAACGTCGCGTCCAGGGAATATGTTCCCATCCACTCCTGAAACAGACTTGGGATCATCATCCCAGGATTGAAAAAGAAAGCACGCTTGAAACCATCAGCCGATGCAGCCTTTATTTGATATGTTCATCCCCGTGATGGTTGCCCAAGATGAAAGAAAAAAGTGAGAACCTGTAGAAGCTGCAGATGGCTATGTCGTTCATCCCGCTTTCAGGCACCTAGAAGTACAAAGCTATTGTTGTTGATAAGCTATGTGGAGCAACCTCCAGTAAACTCATGTGAGTGGAGTTTGCGGATGAATTTGTGCCGCTAGTTGTCAGGGTGATACAAACAATATAGACACGCGGGATTCCACTAAATTTCGTCACTAGGTCTTCGCACTCCCAGCAAGCCAAGCTTTCATCGATATACATATATATATATATATACATCACAATGTAATTTCTTGTAGGGAACATGATGATGAACCAGCGGAACTTGAAGCGCATTTTTTTTAACCAACATATTTTTTTTGGCGGGATGAAGATCCATTCACTACAAAGTTTAGACTCCCAGAAGATGCTGGATGTGGGTCGTGGATGTGTCCCTTTTCTGCCCATTTTGTTTTCCTGGCCATCCAGGGTGCGCAACGAATTTCCAATCCACCAGCCCTCCAGGATGTTGTGATGTTGGCAGGAACCAGCTGTAGGTGATATTCCCACCAGTTTCCGCGGCCAACCGTTAGTGCTGTTCCACCAGCCGATGTTTATACCAATATATACCGCGCCAAATGTTTCTGCTTGAACATTTTTTTGTAAAACCAACCGTCATCGAAGGAAGTTTAGAAGTCAAACTTCCGACCATATGGGCAGATGAAAAGCAGAGCAGGGCAGAGGCAGAGAGAAGAGAAAGATTAGAAGAGAGAAGAGTAGAAGAGAAAGAGTCAGAAGAAAGAAGATGCAGATGCGCGAAAAGGTTGGAAAGTCGCGAAACACTGTGTTTTTCAAATGATTTGTGGCTCCGGAGGGTCGAAAAGTAGGCTCGCTAAAGCGGCGGGTGCGGAGCCCGCTGGCCAGATGAGAGATGAAAATTTGCACGCCGTTGTGGCGCGAAGCACATTTCCAAGTCAAAATGTACAAAGCACACCATTGTCGGACCACTTTTGGACGTTCAGAGCTCGTTTCGCGTGGCAGGGGCAAGGGATTGTGCACCTTGTCAAAAGTGAGCAGAACGTGAGGGTTTTGTCGCATGTCCAAAAACGATGGCACGCGTGGGACATTTGAAGAGGATCTGCAAAGATGTATTTTCCGTGGCAGGTGCAGTACAAAAGACATGTTCATGAGAGATGTTAGGAGGTCAGGGGGCTAATTTCCTAAGAGGGGTTGCATTTTGGAGCATCAGATCTGTAGGTTTGCTAAGATGATTTTGCGTGACAGGTGCAGCACTTCGTATGGCCTGGCATCAATTTTTCGTGGCAGGCGCAGTACTTTAGACGAGACGCACTTCTAACCCTTACAAGCCAAATTGCTAACCTCAAGAGATCTTTGCCTAACCCCAACAAGGTAGATTTTGCTAACCACAAAAAAATTCTTGACCCTTATATTTTCACTAACCTCAATATTGTGTATTTCACTAACCACAATATTGTGCATTTCACTAACCTCTAAGCCTAAAAGCAGCAGTCCTAAGGAATAATGTGATGAAATCAGTTTGCAACAACAAAATGTTCCTTGATATCTGGACACAAAAATTTTGCATCCAAAACCCCGGGGTTTGGCGTTTTGGCTCCAGCAAGAAGCGACGAAGGTCGTTTAGAACTTGCCCTAGTGGACGCGACCGACCGTCCCAGCCATCCCGCCAGTCCCCCACGGGCGCGCACCAAACCTACTCCACAGCCGCGCCCCAGCACCCTCCTTTCCCAGGCCCCCAATCAAACCTTGGCTCTTAGCATCCAAACTTGGCCTTTAACATCCACATTTTGGCCCTAACATCCACATTTTGGCCTTAACATCCAAATTTTGGTCTTAACATCCAAAATTTGGCCTTAACATCCAAATTTTGTCCTTGACATCCAAATTTTGATCTTAACATCAAAATTTTGGCCTTTGACGGGAAACCTGGAAATTAGACTGGAAACCTGGAAATTTGACGGGAAACCTGGAAATTTGACGGGAAACCTGGAAATGGAAATTTGACGGGAA